GCTTCCTGAGTCTGTTTCCTCACGTATTTAATAATACAAGTATTAAATACTGATACATGTTAATACTGATACATATTTACTACAAAAACCGTTTCTTTGCGAATTAGCTTATGTGCAATTGGTAAATAGTAGAAAAATTTTATATCACATGCATTTTTTCCAAGCATGTTAGTGATCTGAAGTGGTCAAAGGTGGACTTTCTACAATTAAAAAGGCTTTAGCAATGTATAAAGATCTTAAGGAAAAAAAATTAAATCTCCCAGTAGTTCCTTCCTTTGGTTTAAGCAGATGCTTAGTGGCTTCAAGTATGGCTACATTCCCATTACATCAAAACAACCTGGGAAGGTGCTAGTGTAGATGGCAAAGCTGAAGATTTCAAGGCTTTTTTTTTTTAAAAAAAGTGATTGATAAGGCTACTTCTAAATAAAACATTAATTTTTAAGAAAACTGGTCTAAACTAATTTAATTGTACTAGTATATTTATTAGGTTATGATTTTTGTTAGGGCTCTTATAAAATTTTGTAAGTTTTGATTGGTGTGTATTTTTCTTTATAAACCCTGTTACTTTAGTGTATTCTCTTGCAGAATATCTGGATTTCCAGGAATGCATGTATGGCATTATAGCAGAAACACCTATGTTATATACTGTTACTCCAAAATGCCCTGTAATTCCAAATTTTAAATTTTCATTAACTGTGAGAGAACACAATGCTAGTCTGCTAGACAGTACGGTTTAATAAAGAAATTAGTGACTATATTATTGAACTTTGTCTTTCTTTTGTAAAAGAGGAAAAACTGTAATTCTTAAAACTAGCAATAAAGAATACCAAATTTAATACAAATGAGAGAACAATAGATGTTTGCAGTGCTGTTTGGCCTTTACCTGATGCTCACTATACTGAAGTGGACAGTATATTTCGGAAAAAAATGGCTAAAAGATACATACAATGCTAGAAAATATTCATTAAAGCCTTTCTAAAAGTTGAAATGTAATTAAACATTATTAATTATTTTTTGCTCTCTGAATATGAATCCCACATCTAACTTTTTGTACATGTGTTTAAGAGCACATTATTTATGAAAGCATAGGCTATTTGTGTCAGGATTTTTGTGAAGCTTAAGTAAAATAATTGTGATAAGGCAACATTTGATAAATAGAAAATTCATAAAAGTGTGCAAACTACTATTATTATATAACTTGGGTGTATTAAAACTGTAGAATTATTTTTTGCACCTAATGTGGGCTTTACATATAGATTGAACATGCAGTCAAATATAACATTTTGGAACAAATAATCTGGAAACAAATTTGTGATTGGAAAACTCAAAATTATCCAATAAGGGTACAATATCTCAAAGTCTTAAAAAAATACAATGAGGTAGCAATTCTGTCAAGGCTACATACAGATCAAAAACCGTGATTTCATTTAATTAATAATAATTCTCTAGGAAAATTGTTCGACTCTATCAGATAAAAAAATGGCTAATTATTTATTTTACTATTTTAAGACGAAGTTAACACTTGCTTAGTAATAAAAACACAAGTTTTGATGGAAGTATCATTCTCTCTTTCAAAAACAAAACAAAACTGAAGTGAGTATAATAAAGTTATATTGTGCTGTGGGAACTGCCTTTCCATGAATGAATACTGAGTTTTTAAAGATAGTGTTCCTTGGGGGATGGAGGAACAAGAGGAGAAATGAGAGGGAATATGACTCTTTTCCTTTATCCAACAATTCTCCCCTCTTCTATAATACAATGGTGGCAGATTCATATTTCTAGAGAGAAATGCCTATATGCATAAAAACACATTCAGTAAATAATTCTTTTTTTTTTTTTTTTTTTTTGAGACAGAGTCTCGCTTTGTTGTCCAGGCTAGAGTGAGTGCCGTGGCGTCAGCCTAGCTCACAGCAACCTCAAACTCCTGGCTCGAGCGATCCTTCTGCCTCAGCTCCCGAGTAGCTGGGACTACAGGCATGCGCCACCATGCCTGGCTAATTTTATATATATATATCAGTTGGCCAATTAATTTCTTTCTATTTATAGTAGAGACGGGTCTCGCTCTTGCTCAGGCTGGTTTTGAACTCCTGACCTTGAGCAATCCGCCCGCCTCGGCCTCCCAAGAGCTAGATTACAGGCGTGAGCCACCGCGCCCGGCCTCAGTAAATAATCTGATATCCACTCAACCAAACTGTTGTTCTAAGAGGACCATTTCCTATATAAATCATTGGAAAAATTAGAAATATGTTCTGGTTCTATTTAAGAGTAAGAATGGAAACTGATGTTCCTCCTGGAGTCTATGAGTATTTCCCATAAACTGTCCCTTAAAAGTGGACTCTGAAGACTAAGTGACAGGGATTGCATGACCATATCAGGATCCAGTTTTGGAAAAGAGAAAAGGGATAAAGCGGATAAGGGAAGAGAGAGAAAAAGAAAACAACTTTTAGGGCAGTGGTTCTCAAAGCAGCAACAGCATTACCAGGAACCTGTGAAAAATGCAAATTATTAGATCCCACCCCAGTCCTACAGAATCAGAAACTAGATGGAGTCCACAAATCTGTGTTTTAACACACTCTCAGGGGGTTCTGATGCAAACTCAAGTGTGAGAACTGATGCTTTAGGACATCCTTCTGATATTATCAACATAGAGGATTCTGGGATATGTTAGGAAGCTTTTAAGCTTTAAACACTTTAAAAATAATTGTTTAGGCCGGGCGCGGTGGCTCACGCCTGTAATCCTAGCTCTCTGGGAGGACTAGGCGGGCGGATTGCTCGAGGTCAGGAGTTCAAAACCAGCCTGAGCAAAAGCGAGACCTGTCTCCACTATAAATAGAAAGAAATTAATTGGCCAACTAATATATACAAAAAATTAGCGGGCATGGTGGGCGAATGCCTGTAGTCCCAAGCTACTTGGGAGGCTGAGCAGAGATTGCTTGAGCCAGGAGTTTGAGGTTGCTGTGAGCTAGGCTGACGCCACGGCACTCACTCTAGCCTGGGCAACAAAGTGAGACTCTGTCTTAAAAAAAGAAAAAAAAAATTGTTTAATACAAACTTAGGGAAAGATCTTTAGATACTCAATTGTATGCTAAAAATTAAATGAAGATTTAAAGTTTTTACTTGAATTAGTTCTTTGTTCCCTGTATGGTTTATCTACTTTTGAGATTAAAAAGATAAAATTCTAAGTGGAGTCAATGTTAGAGTCCAGCAGGTTGGCAGGCATGGTTGCCTGCCTTTTCCTAAGACACAGATCTTGGGTTAGTCCTCTACTTTGTAAGACCAGGACCCAATTTTATCACTTCAGGCAGAAATAAGCAGACCCTGGGAAAACTAAATCAGAAGAGGCTTGACTGATAAGTTAGACATCAATTTTTCAATTTACTTTGAGAAATATAACTGCTAAAAAGACTGGAAAATTCAGATCTAATGTTCTTTCTCTTATAGCACTAACTATACAGAAAATCAAATTACTATCAGCAGAGTAGAGTTGGGTGCTCTCATTTGCTTAGTGACACCAGCACCAAAAGCCTGGGGCATGCACATCAACTGCAGGCTTCTTGTCTTCAGACAAATTCTTACGCGGGTGATTTCTGTCCATATTGCACTTAGCTCACTATCTTTCCATTTAGAAAAGGCCTCAGGCATCCTATAAAATAACTAAAGAAGTTACAGTGTCTTATCAGACTTGGGAAATATTCTGGGTCTTTCATTCATCTATTCATCAATACTTATGTGTCAGGTCCTATCTAAATCACTGGGAATAGAAAAATATTAAGACAATTCTAGCCCTCAAAAGACTTAAGTCTAGGAGAGAGGGAGTACTGCAAAAACAAACACAAGCAGATAATTATAAAACAATGCAGTAAATGCAATGACACACATGCACAGAATATGAAAAACTCCCAGGTGCTACACCCAGAATGGGGGACTCTCTGGAAAGCCTTCCAAGGAGATGGTGTCCTTCACAGATGGGATGAGGAGGTAGAAGACCGGAAGGATACAATTTACAAACCATTGTAAATTACTACTTTAATCCACTTAATAGTAACATCAGCTAATATTTCATAAAATGAAAATTTCTAATTTCAATCTAAATGCTGTGCAAAGGGAGGCATTAAATCTGTGCAATTTCAAACTAAATTTGGTGGAAAGATACCTAAGTTGATGAAAAATCCAAATTAGGAAATAGTGTAAGTAAAACTTGTTTTGCTTAAATGACTTTCGGTAGACACAGTCTGTCAAGCAGAGGTCCTAGGATGGGGCTTTCGCCATTTGGCACAATTTTTATTTGAACCTAACTTATTTTTTAAAAGTTAATCTCATGCTACTCTCATTTAAAGTTCCCTTAGCGGCTATCTTGTAAGGTTTTTGAAAGCAGTTTGTTCCATCAACGAGGGATAAAAGCTGGCAATTTTCATTGCTTTTCAGTTGAATATGTACTTCTTAGGGTAGGGAAAAAGGCAAAGAAAAAGAGCAAAAGCAGGAAATGCTATTAGATAAATTAACCTAAATTGTGTAGCTTCCTTTTTAAAATCTCTATGAGACTTAAATCCTAACAATTTCCTGTAAACCAAGGACTTCGGGAAAATATAACAGTGGGAGACAATCAAACCAAAATCGTCTTTGCGTTCCCATTTTAACGCGAATTAATTCAGACGCGAAGCGGGCACTCCAGCGCCTGGCACTGCCTCGGCTCAAAGGTTAGCACGTTGACTCCGGTGGCTCTAGCACGCCCCTCGGCCCTCTGTCCCCCGAGAGGACGGAGTGCGCCGCCGGAGCGCCTCCCCTCCTGCCCCTCACAGCTCGGGCCAAGGTCCGACGCCGGCGCAGACTCCCACCAGCCCCACCTCCCACCCTGAACCCGCGGGGAGGACGCTCGCCCCTGCAGGCCTGCGCGGTGGCGCATGCGCAGGGCTCCAGCCGGCCAACCCGCGCGCGCCGCAGGGCCCGGCGCTCCCACCTGCGCTCGCCACACAGGGCGACTGGCGCTGACAGGATCTTACCCGCGGTGCTCTCCGAGCCCCCACCCCTGAAATCTCAGCTGGGCACGCGGGGCTCCACCTGCCCCCAGCACCCTCCACCCACGGCGGCAGCAGGTCGCTCGAGGCGAGCCCAGTCAGGGGGCGGGCCGCAGGTCGCGCTCCCATTGGCTGGAGCGTGCCAGGCCTCCCCCCCAAGGCGCCTGCGCGCAGCCAGGGGTGCGGGTTAAACCCTCTCGGTACCCGGGCCCGCGCGGACGTCCGCGGCTCCCGACCGCTCCGCCTTCCCGCGAGCTTCGAAGCCCCTGCCCCCCCACCTTCTTACCCTCCGCCCTGAGCGGCCTCCGCGCGCTCCGCTGAAAGCTTTAGGAGGCGCGGAAGAGCACTCTCGAGATACGTAGGACTAGGCTAGAGGGAGTCGCAAAGGGATTGGCCAGTCGGTGGCTGGCCCGAGGGTTAATAGGAGGGCGGGAACTGAGAGGGGCGACCGGGCACGCGCTGGCGCCTGGGGAGGTGGGGCGGGCTGCCGGGGGCGCGCGCATGCGCCGGGCTGCCCGTGCCCCCCACCCCCTCATCCCCCCACCCCCCGGCCCGGGCGCCCTGGGAAGGGCGAGGCTGCGCCCATGCCCGTGCCCCCCACCCCCTCATCCCCCCACCCCCCGGCCCGGGCGCCCTGGGAAGGGCGAGGCTGCGAGGAGTTCTAGGAGCTGACGACTTAGCCGCAGATTTTGAATGTGTCATGGAAGTATCTCCTTTGGTTTTCCTTGTATAAATATAGCTAACTTTTAAACATTTCTTTCCTCCAGCTTTTTACATTTTTTTACTTTGGCCCCTTCAGTATCTGGATGTCTTTAAACGTTAAGAATTGTTCAGTCGGCATGGCCTTCTTACTGTTAGATGAAATCAGGCAAATACAGTAACTACCCTTTTTTACCTTTGGCACTGTTGACAGGCAGAAGTTGCCTCTATTTGTTACAGCGCTCAGGACTTCTCATTAGAAACCAATCCGGTCACTTGGGGTCCATTCCATCCAATCCCATTTTCCCTAGAAGCTTAATGTACCATCCTTTCTCTCATGCATCTTCAGCCTAATATATCTTTGCCACCGGCATTTAAACGGTCGCATATTTCTTTTCCTTTCTTAGAGTTTCACTTACCATTTGTAGAAATGACTAATTTATAGTTGCCCACTTAACTAGTCTCCACTTCTCTTCAGAGGCGCCTCAAAATGATCTCCAAGCGTATTTCCCAGCGGTGCCATTTAAGTAATGGCAGTTATAGTCTCACCCAATCTGCTCCTACTAAGGAACTGGGCATGTTTCTTGACGTCTCCTGTCTGACTTCCCATGTTCCATTTGTGATACTATTCATTCCACATTTCATCCACAGTAATAAGGCATTTTGCTAAGTGCTAGGATTTAACTTTTCTGCTCTTGTGAGGTTATAGACTTATTCCAATGATGCTACCATGTATCATGTTTGAAGAATTCCCTTAGGCAATACTTCCAATCTCCTTAGTCACAACTTGTTTTATTACTAACCTTATTCAGACTTTTTTCTCTAAATTTTATCTTAATTTTTATTTCAGGATATTATGAGGGTACAAGCATTTTGGTTACATTTTATGTCTTTGCCTCACCCAAGCAAGGATTAGAGGCATGCCCTCTAGTTTTAAATTATGGTTTAAAGTATCAAATTAAAAATGATGATTACCACCTTGGACAATGTGCTACAGATTCTGAAGATGACTTCATAAGAAGGGTTTTAACTTCCTAAGGTGATTTGGAAGGAGCAATCCCTGTTGAGATATTTAAGTTCTGGTATGTTTGTTAAAAATATTTCTTTTAGTTATATCTAATGTAACATACATAAATTTTCAAAAATCATATAGTATTCTAAGATACACTAAAGGAAAACTCTTCTGAGGGTAATTTAAAATTTTTTGGTATAATTCAGAATGTACTCTGGAATTTTAGTGCTCAAATCATTTTCCAAAATTATGTTATTATTCTCAATTATAGATGTAGAATACCTTTAGAGACTGGACTGAGTACACACCAAACCTATATCATACCCTTAAAGGTTTTCCTGAAAACTCCAGTTACCTCCTTGCATGTTTTCCCTTTTATAACTCCCTGTTACTAAATGCTGCACAGTTTATGGTTTTTCACCTTCTGGATTTCAGAATAATAGGGATTTACTATATTTACGTTCTCCTAAATTAAAGTCAAAAAGTAATTTGGAAAATCACTTTTCAATATGGATAAAATCATTAGAAATATCAATAAATTTTTAGTGCTTGAAAACTATATTAACTTGTAAGTCAATAAAGTACAAATGGTGAAGATAGTGAACTGTCTTTATTTTTATTGCCTTTTATTTTCAACAATGATTACTTGAACTTATAAAAAAAAGCCTGTATTAAACTAATGGTTACTGAAAAGCCAAACCTTTCCAGCCCACTTCATATTTTCTTTCAACCATTTCAGGGCAGAACATTGTTCCAAACTATAAACTTGTTCTTTATTAACATTGACGGTCATGTGCTTAATGAAAAGCTTTGGATCCGATATACGAGCAGCCATAATTAACCTTTCTACTGCAGCTTGATAATCATCCTTGCTCCGAGATTTGTTTTCTTCACACCTATAAAATGAACACCTCATAACATTAGAAACTCTTAAAAAAAAAAAAAGCTAATTGGTTTCTTCAAAACATAGTCATTTATATTTATTGGTACTAAGCTATGATGGTCTTTTGACCATCATAAGCTATGATGGTCTTTTTCTTCTAAAAAGTAGCTTTCAAACTTTTTTGACTATGACCCACAGTAAGAAAGGCATTTTATTTTATTATTTAATTTTTTTTTTGAGACAGAGTCTCACTTTGTTGCCCAGGCTAGAGTGAGTGCCGTGGCGTCAGCCTGGCTCACAGCAACCTCAATCTCTGGGCTCAGCGATCCTACTGCCTCAGCCTCCCGAGTAGCTGGGACTACGGCATGCGCACCATGCCGGCTAATTTTTTGTATATATATATTTTTAGTTGGTCAATTAATTTATTTCTATTTTTGGTAGAGACGGGGTCTCGCTCAGGCTGGTTTCGAACTCCTGACCTTGAGCAATCCGCCCGCCTCGGCCTCCCAAAGTGCTAGGATTACAGGCGTGAGCCACCATGCCCGGCCTAGAAAGGCATTTTATATTATGACCCAGTACATACCTTCATATATAAAAAAGGAAAACTTATCCTGATGACAATGTATTTATTCTTAAATAATGGTTGTAAAACCCTAAATTAGTTTTACCACACAAAAAGGCTAGGCTGCAACCCAGTTTGCCAAACACTGATTTAGAATACACCTAATTATTTATATCTTTGTATTTTCAAAATTAATAACTGCATAGTTATTCATCACACTACATAAAATATTTAATGTAATCAAGTTTAGAATTAACATTCATGTGTTAGTTTTACCTTGATATTGGCTATTTTTTTTTTTTTTTTTTGAGACAGAGTCTCGCTTTGTTGTCCAGGCTAGAGTGAGTGCCGTGGCGTCAGCCTAGCTCACAGCAACCTCAAACTCCTGGGCTCGAGCGATCCTTCTGCCTCAGCCTCCCGAGTAGCTGGGACTACAGGCATGTGCCACCATGCCCGGCTAATTTTTTCTATATATATCAGTTGGCCAATTAATTTCTTTCTATTTTTAGTAGAGACGGGTCTCGCTCTTGCTCAGGCTGGTTTTGAACTCCTGACCTCGAGCAATCCGCCCGCCTCGGCCTCCCAGAGAGCTAGGATTACAGGCGTGAGCCACCGCCCGGCGATATTGGCTATTTTTAGTTAAAAGCAAATACTTAATATGTAGCTAACTTTTGGTAACAGAATTGTATAGCTATATGCCTCTATTAAATTTCTGATATTGGCTATTTTTAGTTAAAAGCAAATACTTAATATGTAGCTAACTTTTGGTAACTTTTGGTAACAGAATAGCTATATGCCTCTATTAAATTTCTGATCATTTTCTTCAGTTCTGACTTAAGGTACTTCACTAAGTGCTAGAATTTACTTTTCTAGTAAATTTTCTATCAGCTTCATCTGCCATCAATTGTGACTGCATTTACCTGCATAATAAAATTCATACACTATGGCAGTTTTTCCTCTAGGGTAGGGAGAGGGAAGTATTTAAAATACAGATGTGGCTATTATATATCACTTTTCTTTGTGTTCACTGCTTCCTGCTTTTGGCACCTTTACAGCCCAGCAGCAAGATCTGAATATGAGCCTATCTGCATTAATATCACAGTGTGGTCCACAGAGTGATGGGGGTGAGGACTTGCACTTGAAACAGGAATCAGTGGTTACAGAGAGGAAAGACTGGGAAGGTTATTTCTAGTACATTTGAGCTTAGAAAGAGATGCCCTGGAATATATATGGTAGACTGGACAGATGTCAACTATGTACAGTTTTCAAAAGTCGAAAGATGAATAAAATTATCTCTCATAGAGGTTAATGTAATAACAAGGTAGGACTCAGCCTGACAGTAATAGAGTAAACATTGGCTTGGACAAAATCAAAGATCTAGGCATGTCACTAGTTATGCACTAGGGTTACAAATACCCCCCAAAATTCAACAACGAATAAAAAGGTTACGTATGTGCACAGAATGGAAAGCTATGAGAAAACCAAGTCCTCCTCAGGATGATGGGGAGCCCAGATGCCTCATGCCACCACAGTGCATGGCAGTGAATAAGGAAGTCCTCAGAAAAGAATTATAAGAAAAAAGGCTACCTTTAGTGAGTCTTTTTTTTTTTTTTAATGTGGAACTAAAATAAATTATTTCCTAATTCCACTCCCATAAGTGTGGAACAGACTAAAAGACTTGCCTATAACAAATACAAGACAGCAGAAGTGACACAGTGTGCCACTTTGGATACTAGGTTGTTGGATGATATCTTCACAGGTCTCTTGGATTTCTGGAAGTCTTTGGAGAGACACTGATACCTCTTGTTCTAAATTTCAAGGATGTTTAGAGATAGTTTCTCCTTTTGGAGCAAAGGGCAGGTTTGCTTATTACTCATAAAAGATCTAGGTTCTCTAAGCTTGGGATTCTTATCTCCTCTTATAGAATCCACTGCATGTGCAAGTAT